ATTCATGTCTGTTCTCTTAATGACGCTCATTCATGTCTGTTCTCTTAATGACGCTCATTCATACGCGTTTACTACAAGTATACAAGGAGAGGCAGTAGATAATGGGGGGGAGGAGGAGGAGGGCAGAGAGAGAGAGAGAGAGAGAGAGAGAGAGAGAGAGAGTTCAGTAGTGCCTCTATACACACCGTTGGAGCAGGCAACTCTAGAATGACAAGAGAGGTCAGTCAGTGCTCGGGTTGCAGGATGATTTTTGTCAAGTAGCCGCTGTTGGCTATGATAGGTGGCCACCCCTATACAGACCGAACAGCACCGATTCGTGTGCAGACAGTGGAAGCATCGCATCCAATTCTCGCAGTCACAGTTGCTGCACCGAATGGCACGGCGTTCACAGATATCACAGGCAATGTGACTCCCACAGGGACGGAAAAGGCACGCCGACCGCAATCATAAGGCATTGCTGTCGAGCCCTTGTCTACAAATCGGACACAACATGTCAGGGTGCCAAACGTGAGTGCAATATTGACTGTCATCATACGTATGAAAACAAAAAGATGGACGGGTTATATACCTTCGTAATCCTCGTGCACAATGCATGCAACCCACATGCTAGCCGAATCTCAGGTGGATCATCCAGAACGGCATTGAGCAGGTGCAGGTGTCCTGGGTTTCCTCGTCATTGATTCCTTCTTTATAGAGACGATGACTAAGCTGCCGAGTTTGCCGTTTGTCAGGCAAGAAAGAAGGAAATCCGATCGCGTTTGCAGCAAGTGTATGCCCAACTCTGCATGTGGGACATGCTAAGAGAGGATATGGCAGATGATGGCTACCGTAGTCCACGCAGTAGAGACACATGTTTTCATTGCAGCTTCTTTGAAACATCGATGACACATGGCATGTTGCTGACATGTCAGCAGGAAGGCAGTCTGACGTTCGCAGCTATTTAAGCATGGCAGATTAAGGCCACGACAGAAAGTTGGGCAAACGATTAGGGGGTGGGGGGGATGAAGACAAGACAAAGCGTCGCAGTTTTCACGACAGAGGCTACGCATTGTGCATGCTAACTGAACTGTGGCCGTGTGGCCACAGAATGGAAGGGCACGGCCAACATCTTCCTCTAAGGGGGTTCTTTCATTGCTTGGAGCAGAATCTGTCCGATCTAAACAGGGAGGGGACACTGCTTGGCGATGTGCTGGGGAAGGAGGTGATTGTGCATCTGGATTGCTCTCCAGAGACTGAAGCACTTGCGGGTGCGAAGTAACATACTGTTCCTAACAGACAATCCAATTGCATGAGTATTTGCTACTTGGTTATAGAAAGAGTTACTACTACTTACCTTATGCACGCTACCGCCCTTGTCCCATAAGGCCCGTGAATCATTATGTGTACACAACGGATGGCACTCTTCACCATCGAGTGGTCTGTATCCCTCTGGGCACCAATGCTGGGCCAGAAATTGCCAACCTTATGCTCTATGGTGACGAAGCACAGTTCATCGACGAACTTCACATATACGCTTAATCGATGACATTTTGTCCTAGGAGACATCACCACCCCCTCCTGCCCGGTACGGCCTTGAGTGGAAAGACACTACTGAGCAAAATGGCTCATGTCTTTTCCTTGGGCCAAAAGGCCAAGTGCGTGCAGATGGCTCGCTTCGCATAGGTGTATTTGATAAGGCCGACGCTTGGACATTCCCTGTCATATGATATCCCAGTTCTTCCTTCAATGCCCCAGGCTCATCAGCCTGCAGGTGTGCTAACGGGACATCTAACAAGGTTCGAATGTGTGGGTGTGTGAGTGGGTGGGTGTAGGTGTGTCTGTGTTGTCATATTCCATATACTCTAAAAAAAAAAAGCACGGTCAAAAAAAAAAGCCATGACTGTGCCAGACTGTTTCATATCAAGAGAGAGAGAGAGAGAGAGAGAGAGAGAGGGAGAGCACCCCACAGTCAAGCACTGCGACATTCCCCCCCCCGCGAGTAATGATGCTCACAGAACTACTCTGGCCAAGAAAGGTAGACACGGCCACAACAGGAAAGGAGTGCTATTAAACCACCAGTACCAGGTCCGGCTATACCTGACCCAGTTATGTTTTTCGACCTGCACCCAACGCGCCCCCACGTTCAGGGTTTGGGGCAGTCGTTAATTAATTTGATGAATAGCCTGGGGTGCAGCACGGACCCCGACAACTCATGACACCCGTCCCACACCTCTACACACGCCGAGGTACCGGTGGTTTAAACCACCAGTTCACACGAGCCTAAGTCGACGAAGCTACCTTCCAAGCTTCACAAGCCTGCAACTGCACCTTTTCGAAGCTTCACAAGCCTGCCAGCTTTTTTACCCCATATACCAGCGAGGCCCAAAGCGGATGGACCAGTCTTACCCCATATACCAGCAAGGCCACAACGTCATCTCGCGTGAACCGGTGCTTCACATGACACATTCTGGCTTCTGGTTTCCTTGGAGTACCCTGGATTCTCCAAATGTTGCATCTCGCACTTTGAGATCGAGGTTCAGCAAAAAGTATTTGGTTCTGACAAGAGTGGTTGTCCTGTTTTATGCCCTCCACCAAAGACGACATGCAGTAGTCGCTGTGCTATCGCACAACAGGAGCACGCTCCACATGGACTAACCATCTTTGCCTAAAAAGTGTAAAAGGTCATTATAGCTGGATTGCAGGTGACTATTGGTCTAAATACAGCACTGCTGATCATACCTTCTATTTGGGTTACCACTGATCAAAATAAGTTGATACGAGACTTTGGCCATATAAAATAGTCACAACAACACTACAGCTATGTGCCTTCAAGCAGCCTGTCAACAGGACATGAACTCGCCGCCACGATCCAACCAGACAGTCGAATGAAAACTTTGCGAAGAGCAGCAGTCTTACACCACCCAGCGAGCTTGCAGCGTGTGTGCTTACACCATCTGGTTTCTAAAAGCCACGGCTGATAATGGTATTCATTTCGGTCAGCCTAATACAAGCTTTGCTCATTCAAGGCATGGTCCTCGTCAAGATGCGAACCCGTGGAGAACCGATTCATACGACGCAAATCTAATGGCAGCCTCGGCAGCAACCAAAACGAAACCTACGCTCACCATACATGTTACATGCTGAGCCCGCACATGGGCCCCATTTTGGGCCCGAGGCGGTTGCTGGGAGCCCCCAGGCCGCACGCACTTCGGACATGCGACCTGGAGGCCCATGGCCAGCCTTAGGGCCGCAGGATTCGATTTGAGGCAGCATTCATTTATTTCTTTACTTTAAATTATTTATTTATTTACTGATTTGCTGTCCTATTTCTGTCTGTTCCAGGCACCGTTTGTGGTTGCAGAGCGTCCGAACGGACACACGGTCTGTTCAGACCGAGGCCTCGTTTTGGGCCTCTTCTCCATTCATGGCCAGGCCCTTTCAGGCGAGGTTCGTTTTTGTCCGGTAGCGGACACTCCCTGCTCCATCAGCATGGAGGGCCTGGAAATCCGGTAGGGACCCAGGCAGGTCGTTTCAGGCCAAGGACCAGAGGCACACCAGCAAGACCCAGCGCTACATATATCTGGGCCAGGCCAGAGCAGACACAGTTCAAGTAGCTCACTTCTTGGACGACACGGCGCTGCGAGAGAGGAAGAGGCCATACCTGCAGCGGCAGTACTTACCTGGGCACCATAGCTGGACTCTACGCCAGCAACTTGCACAGACCTGCCAGCGACAGTTAGTACCTAACCCCAGTTACCTGCAGGTGAGACAGCGAGGAGGACAACATCTCCTCCATCTCACCCTCCATCTCTTCTTCCCCCTTCTTCTTCTTCTTCTTTCAGAGAGAGAGAGAGAGAGAGAGAGAGAGAGGTTACAGGCAGAGGTTACATAGGGCCACGAGGCCCAGAATCCGATTCAACATTTTTGCAGCAGACATTGATCGGACAGTCGACAGGGGAACTCATTTTGGACTTCGCTATCGCGATCTTGGTCTTCTCCCTCTTCTCCATCTTCATCTCGCCACTCCACAGGAGGACTGATTTTGGACTTCGCTATCGCGATCTTGGTCCTCTCCCTCTTCTCCATCTTCATCTCGCCACTCCCCCATCTCCTCATCTGCGGTATCTCCCCGTCTGCGTGCCCAAGGAGGGGCCTTTCTTCAATGTATGCAGTCCCTCCCCTCTCTCTCACATGTGTGGTGTATGATGGGGTGTTACATCAGTATCCGATACATCAGGTCATATCTTTGAGTCTTACGTCAGTATCCGATACGTCAGGTCATATCTTTGAGTCTTCAGTTCCGCTACATTATGCTATTTTCGTATGTATCTGGATGCACATTGCTTGTTGATGCTTTGCTGACGCTGCATTGTCCATTTGAATCATTTTCATCACTTTGCGGATCCTGGGCTCCATATACATCGCTCGACTGAGCATGTATCAATACATTAGGCTGGTTTCCGCTGTTGTTACCTTCCGTGGAAGACTGGTTTGCATTGTCCTTGATCTTGCGGAGGACTGGTCCAAAATCATCATTGGTTGCACCACCCACAGAGGAGAGCCCATGCACTGCAACCTAACCATAGTTTGGCATATACGATGCTTGTCTTTTGGCCTAGCAGACACTATATAGGTTGGAGGACAGAAACATTTGCTACTGCCTCCATATACAGTGCCGTTCGAGACAAACACTTGTTTAGCACGTCGACATCCACAGTCCGGCAGCTACTTTCGAACACTACAGCTCAACATTTGACTTTGCAGTGTGTTGCACTAAATATCATTTTCACAAAATCTACAAGCTATCCTGTCCACTCCAGAACCCTTCGCTTCGGAGTTAACAAACCTCTCCTGCGCATTGAGACGTATGAAGTACCCCCAACACACCTTGAGTAACAAAGGTCTTGACACAATTTCAGACCATTGTTGAGCATGCTGCATGACAGTGATATAATAATTCCAAAGATCAAAGAAGGCACACTCATCACAACAACATGAAAGCTCTCTCCACACCCTTAAAGCTTCAAGACACTGCTACAGCTGAAATGAGGGAATGGAAAGAATGTTCAGGGTCCGTTAACATCAGGCAGGAACATGAAAAATCCCTCAACTCCCTGACGGTAGACGGTATGGAAAGCATCTTTCGGGATCAGGTACCAGTACGTCTTGAGAAATAGAGCATAGCAAGACATCCGAGATTGAACCATAGCTGACACTCGATTCACCACCGTTGTGTAAGCATATCATCAAAAACCTTAACATCATGGACTACAAAGCCCTGGCCATGGACTACAGCAAATATGGACACATGATCGAGATCAACAGCTAGATCATTCATGCTGCATTCTCTCTGTACACGGCTAGATCTCACAGAGGCAAACATTCATGTCATCCTTAACATCTTTTACAAAGCCCTGGCCATGGACTACAGCAATATAAAAATTCGGAAAGGGGGCTTTCACTTGATTTGACAGCAAATATGGACACATGATCGAGATCAACACGACCAAACCTGCTACAGTGACAGATCTCGCTAACCTACATCCATGTGGCAATACCCCAGAGAGATCAAGACAACACCCGCAACCACCCACCGACATGAACACGCGCACGGACAAACACACACACACACACACGCAAACACACACACACACACACACACACACACACACACACACACACACACACACACACACACACACACAATAGACACACAAGCACACACAGACAAAGGCAGATGACAGAAAAGCAATGCTACACGAGCAAGGGAAAAGCAGCGGCAGCATAGTCAGCACAGTTGGCATGATGCCATCAGCGGGATGAAAAGAAGGTATGCAGGAAATGACACGAGTAGGAAGGCGAATGAAATAGAGAGAGCGCACTACAAAGGACTCTCCACAGACGTGAACTTGCAATTGTGTGGAGGAGCAGTGTGGAAGAAAGGGACAAACATCCAGAAAGTGAACATCAATTTCCTACTACATAGCGAACAAGATGAAATATAATTTCTACGCAACAAACTAAAAGGGAACCTATGCAGCACGCTTTCACTTGCACAAAGCGTATGATGCACGACAAGCCCCCAACTCCTTGACGTACATTCGAGTCATCATTCGTCATCTTCACGATGCTGCCAGGTCAGGCAGCCGCCTCACTATAATCACAATCTTATTCCACCTCAGGTTCTGGTTCAAAACTGACTGTCAGCAGATTGTAGCACTTGCCACATACAACTCGTTCGAGAAATCTCCATACACTGCACATGAGAAGAGATGAGAGGACAACGCTCCCTCTCCTTCGTCGTTTCTAAACCATCTACTCTATGTTCAGACCCACAACAGCTACTCTCGACCAGATTCATAACCACTACAATTCTCAATCGCCATCTACCATGTGCCGAAACACACGCAATCCCCAGAATGAACAGTCCTTCCTTCTCGCCGTCTCCACGCTGTAGAATGCCAGTAGCCTTCTGCTCTCCTGCCATCTTCACCAATCCACTCATCCAGCTCACACCACACACGACAGACATACATTTACCCAGGGCATGCACCACACAAGTTTCTTCTGCAGCACCAACCCCCCCTCAACTCCCCCTCTCCTTTCCTTCCGATGCCACTGCAGTCCCAACACGTCCACCCCCCCCTCCCACCCCATTGACCCGCTTTGCGCCAACCCCTCTCAGTTCCCAGCCAAAAACTATGGAACTCAAGTACACCAGGACGACATTAATACATATCCTTCCAAATAAGGCACACCAATGTTCCCAGAAGCAGGCGCTCCTACTATATACCAACAAGCCTCCACTCTCATCCCCGTTGCCCTCGCTTCTTGTACCGAAACTCTGCCAGAAGTGCGATGTGATCTGACGACCATTCAGGGCTCGGCAAGGCAGTATCCTTCCGGAGGTTTTCTTCATCTAACAACTCCAGAAGAGCCTCTGGTTCTAATAAATCCGCTGTTAACCATCCAATCCACATGCATTCATTCCATGCCGATGTTTGAATTCCCCAGGAGTACCGGAACGACAACATTCAAAAAGGCCACACAAAAGAACAACCGCATGGCAACCAACGAGTCAGTCTCGCCATAATCAACTGCTCCCACAAGTGAAACCCGAGTGATCAAGGTTGGTAAACCACCTCTCCCATGAGACACAGAGACAGGGTTCCACGGCTGCACCCAACCACAAACACATCTGACACACTGATGCCAACCCACATTCATCGAGTATCAAGTGGCACGGTGAGGTGAGGACTACAGGCAACTCGACAAACTGAAAAGGACTTCATCTCCCCTGCTGCTCCATGGAATAAAATCACCCACTGCTTCCAAACCAGAATACAGGCATACATAGTTTCCAGCCATATGCACACAGTGGGCTGGGCGGGCCCCTTAAATAGCAGTGGGTTGGGTAAGTACAATACTTGAATACCCTGTAAAAGAAAATGCTTGCACACAACAACAGCACCAAAACCAATCGCACCTTACAGCATCACGCGAACACGTTCCCGAATCATCCTATCCTCGTCAAAACATCGACCACCTACAGGTGGTGGATACATTCTTCGTGAGGCTTCTTTCGGGCGTATTGAATACAGCACCAACATTGACCTCCAACAGCTTGTTATGGGCGTGTAGAATACCACCCAACCGTGCGTTGCACATGGATAACCGCAAACCATACAGCCCACAAAGATGAGAAAGGGGGGCTATCTCATCAAAGGAAAAGTCTGCCAACACAAGTCAGCATCAGGGTGCAACGCAAATGCGCTGCAGGTGATAATCATCACAAAACCGAGCAAGCGAATCCAAAAACTGAGATACTTTCATCACACTCCCAAACATCCTTTGTGCACTCAGGTCCTTGATATCTGCAGACTCTCCCAAAGATTCTTCATGCTCTCAGCTACTTCTCAAACATATTCCAGAGTTAGAAACTAACTCCCGAAGGATAAGAAGTCGTCATAGTTAGGGACAAACGCGCAATACGCGTACTCGGAGGTCAGGTTCAGAAACATTTGTACTTGCCAGACAAGAAATAGGGTTGCAAAACATTTGTACTTGACAGACAAGAAATAGGGTTGCGCCCCCAAAGAACTGCAGGAAGATTGATCACACACAAGCGAGCAAGGAAACGCACCTGTATAAAAAATGTAATCCAGAGTTCCCCAAAAGTCTCTCTTAAAGTTCGTAAATAATGGCTCGTTAGATTGGATGTCCATCCGCCTTCGGTGCCGATCACCCATTGAACCGGGAGGGCCAGGGAGACGTGCTAAAGCAGAATAAGCACTGACCTACAGTAACCACCAATTTCAACAGCACATCAGCATAGTGTTCGGCAGCATACAATTATCGCAATCAGGCATCATCATAGGCGAATCATGTTGTCACACAACAGACCGCATGCTGAACCGTACAGGTTATACACATTGCACAACAGAGAATGAATCAGGACACAACTGAATGAAAACGACATACTCGCTCTGCAGAAGACAAACTCTGAGGTTGCGGGGTGAGGCCAGGGCAAAGTGGTCTGTCAATATGCTCTCATTCGTTGCTAACGGGATCAGAATGTATTAAAAACTTCAAAACGCATCATTTTCTCGCTAGCTTTCGAACTAAAAGGATTCAGTACATCAGGTGTTTCACCTATTCGTGTGTGATAGAATCAGCTACATCCTATGCTTTAGAATGAGCTGCAGAATCACGGACGGAGAAATCTGCTATTTTCTGAGTATTGCTGCGTGTTGGACTGATTTGCTGAGATTTCAATGTTCTGCTGAGGTTTGCCGTCAGCTGGGTGAGCTTCAGATTTTCACCACAACAGCCCCTGTTCCACCCAGATGAGTAGATCCAAAATCAAAGGAGCTTTACCTCTATTGCAGACAATCAAGGACACTTGAGATGAGCGAATCCATCGATGTAACAGTTTTACCTCGATAGCAAGCAGGATGGAGCAGAACAGATCCATTATATCCCTCTCTGAAGTATCTTTACTGACTCGTTCTTGCAGCTCCTCTCACGTGCAAGGTTGGCCATGTCTGCTGTAGACTGGGAGCTTGCTGTTGTCGGAGAGCTCGTTTTTGTATATGTGACCCGCATAGCCCACAGGCCTGTAGGTAGAGTGGGTTCGAAGAGGCAGGCAAAGGACAAACAAGTGGCCGCACCTTTGCAGAGGCCCAGTAGCTCGGTAGGTCCGAGCCTAGAGCCGTGCAAGGTTGGCAACGTCTGCTGTAGACTGGGTGCTTGCTGTTGTCGGAGTGCTAGCTTTTGTGTGTGACTCGCATGGCCCACAGGCCTGTGGGTAGAGTGGGTTAGAAGAGGCCAGCGAAGGACAAACAGGTGGTGGTGCCTTTGGAGAGTCCCGGTAGCTTATCAAGTCCATAGGTCTGAGTCTAGAGCCTGCGGGAAGGGGGATATCAGACTGCAATGATGCCCCCGCCAAAAATGTTAAGTACCGGTGGTCTGGGAGGCCATGCGGCCTGGAAAGTCACCATGCAAAGCAGCACTAGTCCGGTACATCAAGGGACCCCTAGTGGGGTGATACTTGGAAGGACAGCTACGGGGATGGAATGTGGCATGGCGGCCATTGTGGGAGAGGCATGGGTGGATCGCAGTAAGGGGAGGATTCGGACATCGATTCCGGTTCATTCACTCAATGTTATTGCTATGATTCCGGTTCTGTCATTCAATGTAATTATTATTATTATTATTGTTAAGAAGATGTTGGACGGGAGATGGTAGTAACATGTGGGAGGAGTGACATTGGTTCCAGCTTGTGTCCATGTCCATCTTCTTCTTATTCTTCCATTCTCATTTCTTCTTCTTCCTTTGTATATATCACTTTCCAACCTCTTTCATTTCAGCTGCAAATGGA